AGTCCTGCTTATTGCTCTGAAACGTCGCCAACACACCCAAATACATTAAAGTGATCTATAACCCAGTGGAGTAAAATATGTGTCGGTTCACAAATTAGCCCACCCCTCTCCCAAAGCCTCGTACAAGAGAATCTTTTTATTACACTCGCACAAAGTCGGTTGAAACATGATGCTGGTGCTTTATTTAAAGGGATGTGAAGTAGGTATGGTTGCAGTACATATGAGCGTAAGCCAGAGACAACTCAGTGGATCAGATTATTTCCTATCTGGACATCCAGCGATATCAACTTCACAGCTTTGTTTCCTCTCCTTGGATTTATTTAATGTATATATATATTTATATATTTAAAAAAAACAAAAACAAAACTGAAAATTACACGCAGACTACCATCATGGAGAAGAATTTAAAAAGCACTAAAAGGTGTTTCAAAGTGTTAGTGTTAGAATCGTCAGGGTTTTTTTTTTTTCCTTTAATCTAAATGCCAGTGAGTCTGCAGGTAATAGAAGAAACGCTCAGAGAATATATCTTAAAGATGCATGTGATCCAGGAGGCCAACACAGCCACAGCATGCCTTAAATATACTTAATATCAGTGCAGTATTAAACTAAGAACAGTTTACCTGATATCCCATCTGGGTTCTCCCACGCACAAACGTACACAGAACGATCCTCGATATAGTACACGTATTCACTCACACCGAGCACAGAGTTCATACTATCACGACAAACATGGAGACAGCCGAGAGGTAACATGAGCTAACCTGAAAACACAGGAGACTGCGTCCTGCACAGGGGGAAAAGGCGTTGGATATCGAACTGTTAACAACGTGTTTTTATGCTAAACCTTGTCCCAGCTGGTTAAAAACATTCTTAAGTACTGGAAATGTATTGCTACACAGTGTTACTCCTTTGAGTTTATATATATATATATTTATATATATATATATATATATCGTACATAATATATAAATGAATATTAATTAAGCTCAGTCTGAGGATATAGCTATATTTGTGATTCCTTTTGTCGTGAGTTACAGATGACACGTGAACTATTTACAGATGACGGTGCCAGTGCAGTAAGAATTCAGTTATCAGTCCTTGGAGACGACGACATAGAATAGATATCAAAATAGTGGCGATGGAGAGTCCGGGCTTTGTCGTCTGACAGCTTTCACAGTCGAGAACAGCAGCACAGAGCGGCGGCGGCGGGTTTAACTGCTCAGATGGTGAACAGCGGGTACAATGAAAGCTATCACTCATTTCACAAAGAACGACTGCCGATCTATACGTGAGATGGCGCTCCGTAACATCTGCTTGCATTGATTTGCTTTGGATCCATCAGCGAAATGAACAGCAGCTGATCAATGAGACCAGCCCACCTCCTCCTTTTTTTTCTTCTTCTTCTTCTTCTTCTCTTTTTAACGGCTAATATACACACAGAATAAAACAATACAGAATTCCTCATCTCTGCTTCCGCCCTACCGACGCCTGTCATTTCCCGTTCGTGTCGGCGGTGTTTGCAGGTCAGAGGTCCGGGAAGCGGCTGGGATCTTCTTTGTATTCGGCGGGGATGAAGAAAATAGACTCTTCGAAATCGTCGTAGCGGAATTCCTGAAAGGTGACAGTCGCCGTGATGGTGGGGAAGACGGGGATGTCTGCGAGGCAGGAAACAAGAGAAGACGTGTTAGTTTGTGATCGCGCTCTTGAAGCTCGGCGGCTCACAGGAACGCAGCGGCAGGTCGACGTACCGAGTTTGACTGGAAACCCGGGCGGAAGTTTCATCTGAACAAACTCTCGGAGTTTGTTGAAGTGCTTGAACGGGGCGATGACTTCCAACACGTTTAGTAACCTGGAGGCAGAGGGAGGTAAGACAGCGGTTTGCTTTCAGTCGTTTCTTTGCCAACTTTTCCTGTCAGGTGCAGACAAAAGTGTAGAAAACCTCAAACAGAACGAAAAAAGGAGTTTTGAAAGAAGATTCACTGAAATTTGAGCTCTTGAATGAATAAGGGGTCCAACGACAGACGATCCTCTCTCCTTGTGCTCTTGAACAGAACTATAAACATATGAAAGAAGCGTGGAATAGACTGTGGTTTCCAACCTTTACAGTTTCTGATCTTTAAAAGGCCCTACAGAGCTTTTTTTCTAAGCATCAGCATCTTTTTATTCAATTGTCTCTGATGAGGAGCGAGCGTTTGCGGCCTCCTCGACTATCGGTTCACTTTTCAGACCACTTCACCGGTTTTGTGCGGCCACTCAGAGCTTCGGGTTGAAATTTTTTAACTTTTTCTAAAAGGTGCTCAGGAAACCAATTACAGAGGTGGGACTCATCATCATCGTCCCGGTAACCATCAAAACCATCATCAAGTCTATTATTAAATGGTAGTCAGAACGGTGATATGTGGTCACGATACAGAAACAAAAACCCACACAGAGAATAGGAACCGGCCGTAGCACCTCTGTATGCTAAACAAGCAACGAACGAGGTTTTGCAGGTTGTGATCGCTCCACTTATACAGTCAAATGTATTCATCTCCAATTACAATTTAGTGAAATAAGACATTGCTTTTGAATTGTGGCTGAAAATAATAATTTAAAAACAAAAAGCTATCTTGGACTAATTAGAGCACTTTGCTGATGAGCAGTGAAATCCAAACACCTGTCAACAGGTGCAGAAGTCTGACTGAGAGTTACAGGAAACACCTGATGGCAGTGATTGGCTCAAAGGGTTGTTCAACTAAATATTAGTTTACGGGTCCCATCATGCTTGTTTGCTCGTTTTTTTTTTAATATTTCTGTTGAACCACAATTCAAAAGCAACGTCATGATTTTCATAAAATTTTTATTCATTATTACTTTTGTCAATTTCGACTTATTTCTACTGCCAACTTTCCTCTTCATGTCGTTCCTTCCTGAGCTGCACTGGGGGGACAGTAATAAAGGGAATCTACGTTTGAATGTCTTTGATTGTGGATTTTGTCGCCCGTCACTTAAACTGAACGCCGGTAAACACAGGACGATATTTATGGATCCTCTCTAATTGCTATTCAGTGAACTTGCATTCATTAATAAAACAAGTTTCCCACGCTGGATTCAAAGCGCCTCACGTAGAATAACGCACGCGTCTAATCCGCCGTAACGGTTTTTGATTCGATCTCGTCTCTCAGAAGGATTGTTTTGGTTACACTGGAAGCAGATACGCCTCCGGGTTGGGAACCACGGGAATAAATGAATTATTGATATCCTGATGTATCGGCTTCACCAGAGGTTTTCAGTCCTGATCTTCGGGGTCCAGACAAACAGCGGTTTCCCGTTACGCTGTGAGTACGTTTACAGTAACTCTACGTCTCACGTGTAAAAAAAATAAAATAAATGGCTGGAATGAAAACCAAGGAGGGCTGGAGAGTGAAACCCACCGAGACATGAGGTAATGCAATCTGCTACTGAACAGTCGTTTCTGGTCTCGTTTTGGTGATCGCGGCTTTAAACTGAACATTATAAAAGCAGCATATTTGTAACATTACAAAGCACAAAACGTGAAGGGGAGAAATTACATTAAAAAACCATTAACTACGTACAGGGTGGGGTTTTATTGCTGGCTCCATTAAGGCTCATTCAGCAGAGGAGATAAAGCAATTTACTTGCTTTACTACGTCCCAGTAATATTTTACAGCACCGCCTGTAATCCGTTATAGACACAAACCAAAGCATGAATCAACTGCTCGGTGTAACGCGCGTTTATCTTTTAAAATTGCCTTTTTCTCAGAGTTTTTATATTTGGCCTCTTTCATACATGATCATGATTCAAGAAAGCAATTCATTTGGTTTTCTGTGTGTTACAACCAGAAAAATGTAGAGAAACATTCGTCAAATCCAACATTCGCTGCTCGCTCTGCTGTGATGGTTTAGTTTCTAATTTGTAAAAAAAAATATGTCTGGGATCTGGATGTTCTTATTTCAGGCTTTAGGAAACACTAAAGGGCATTTGTTATTTATTTTACTATTATCTGGCATAAAAAGTAAAAAGAAATTCAATTAATAATCTTTCCAAAGACACAATAAGCAGTAGGTGACGCTCGGCTTCAAGAAAAGCTCGACGTTTCCCTTCATTATGAAAACACCAGAGTTAGTCGTCTCTACGGATAAAAGTAACTGAATTCTTAATGCGCCCATAAGTTACTAGAATATTGGCAGCGTCTCCCCTCGGGACACTGCTTAGAAGTCATTAAAGCTTAAAGCAGAGTTGTGATTTACAGTTTTTCCATCCGTATTGAGGTGACTCCGTTTTCAGCAGCAGGCACAAAGAAAAGCTTTTGCTCCGGTCCCGACGTAGAGTCAGACAAACAGAATGTAAAATGTTCTGTGGAGAACAAACGTGGTCGCGAGCATTAAAACACAAGTAATTGGATCCTTTATTATCTATGTTCATGTGAAAAAGAATATCACTGGATTATTCTTTTTTAAAACTCTAAAATACACACGAAAAGGGTTGGAGGCGCCTACAGTGTGTGAATGAGAAATAAGCAGGACTTATCCTCCAAACAGCGCTACAGCCAAGCCGAGGCAAAAAAACAAAAGCAAAAATGTCGTCACACGATGGAGCCGTTTGTTTTTGCCATTTTCTGATCAGTGGCTCCCCCACGCAACCAGGGAAGCCCCTCCGTCTACCTGGCCCAATTATCTGATCTGAATTATTTCATCTCCACATCACCCTTTTCTAAAATCTCATGAGCACCCACGTGTATTCACCCAGGATCAATCTGCACAGAAAGCTTTGTAAATAGATCTGAGGATGAAGGGATGTACTTACGACTCGATGCCTAGAGGGAAATCCTGGCTCATGGCTACAGTAGCTTTGAAGTTCTTCTTGCTTTCCTTACACACCAGCTCTCTGCCGAGATGAGGTGGCCTGAGGGCGGGAAGAGACAAAGACAAACACATGAAGACGTGTTTCACTCTCACAAGTCGTACACATCTTCTTGTCGCTGCCCTGAATAAATTGCTAATTATGTCGAGGACTGATGAAATCGTAGAAAATACGAGACGCTCACTTTCCGTGCTCCGCAGTTATGTACTCTTCCCAAGAAATCGTGTTGGGGGCTGGAGCGGTGAGGGACTGCCTCCTCACCGGCTGGGGACAGGAAGATATCTGTCAGCGATCCGGTGGTCAAGTGTCACTGCTATTTACTGCCCACAAACAAAGCTAGGGCGGTGAATTCTTTCCTCCTCACCTCAAAGTTCTGCTCACTGATGCTGCCTCCTTTACTCAAGCTCTCCATGATGGCTTTGTTCCTCAAGATGTCTTCTTCGCTCAGGTGCTCTCGCCGTTTCCTCGACTCCAGCACCAGACCGTTCACTGCATAGAAGTCGGCCAGAAAGTTCCCGACCCTCTCCTGCGCACGGAACAAGCAGATGTTGGTATTTCGAAATGAGTTACAGCCATTTTCTCCAGACATGCTGCAGACCTCTGAATGTGCCAAGAGGCAGCCTGAGGGTGGGACTGTACCGCCTTTACTGGGGGCTAAACATTTTCTAATTCTTCAAGCATCCCTATTCATTCCCACAAAGCGTCTGCAATACTTGGGATGTGCTGCACGGCTGCGTGGAGACAAAACAGGGCTTAAGAGGCTTTAGGAGATAAACAAAATTTGATTTGTTTCCCCGTCTCTAATTATTGATTGGGCTTTTTAAAAAGAAATCTTCAGCCTGTGAGTTAAGAAAACTCTTTTCTGCAGCTGTTCTCAAGCTGTGAGGCATGTGGAAGACCACGGGGAAACTATGAAGCAACATTTAGTTCAATCAGTATGATTTATGGAGGGAAAATAAACCAACAACAGTTTTCTGACCAGAGCTTTCAGTAAAATTCTCTCTGGCGCCTTTGTTTTTATTTGGCTTCTAACGGGACAGAAAAGTTTAAAAACCACTGCTTACGTAGAAGCAGCTCCGCTCTACTGTCATACACAGCGCTGGAAAATGAGCTTCTGATTGATAAACAATCTGGAATATCTTTGAATTACTAATCAAAAGCTTGTGAACTCTGAGGCCACGTTTACACGAAGCCGCGTATTTACAAAATCAGATCTACGTTTTCAAAAATAACATTGTTCACATCAGATCGTTTGCGAAAAAAGCTTCGTTTACAGAAACCCGCATAAATACGCCATGCTAGCCAATCAGAATCCCTGAAAAAACACAACGAATGGCACGAACGACTTCCTGTTACTTCAACGATAATGGCGCGTTTGTGTGGACCGACAGAGAAGCTCGTCCACATAACAAAACATTTCTGAATGTGAATGCAAACAGGCCAAAAGCGTTTGCACAAACGTAAGAACACGCATCGCTTTAACAGCGTCCATTTCTGATGATTATGACAGCAGCCAAACTGTAAACATGGCTGCACGCATATGACGCTGATGACGCTTCTGTCGCATACTGTCCGCCTCCTCCCGTCTACATGCAAATGTAAAGACAGAGTTTTTCCAAATCTCCACTGTGGCTGGAGTTTTCAGATGTGATCGTTTTCGGTGACTCGTAGCTTCGTTTACGTGTAAACCAAAGGCCCAAACCCACTGAAATATCACCCTTTATGCTACGTGTAAACGGGGCCTGAGACTTGGTGACTTCTAAAACACACAATGTTTAGGTTATTCCCACTTTGTGAAGCACCTTTCATCATTTTGCTGTCATGTTATGTGCTTGGACCATGTTTCTGCTGTTTGTTGTTGTGATTAAATATCTTTTCTCGATGTGTCACTGCAGAGAAACAACAGGTGCTATTCCAAACTTCGATGATGGATGTTTCTGTTCAGTTTAACCAGTAACGCTCTGCTGTTGTGCTTGTCGGCTCACTAATGCAGTTTAATCAAATTAGGAGCATAAAGAGTGAATAAGAAGCATTATTCGTATGTATTACAGCTGTGTTTCTTCTTCTATCAAACACTGAGCCTCTACAGACTGTGTTTTAGTGTCCTTTACTCTCCGTCAGCTCTGTTGAACGTGTCGACGCAGGGTAATGACTTTATTGTTACTAGGAGGAGACCACATTCTGCTTTAAACTCTAGAAAGTTTTTCATCATGAAGTGAGTCACATTGCTTCACTTTCGCACATTGCCGCAGCCTTACCGTTTTATCCTCTCTGAAGAGCCAGCCAATCTGGCTACGAGAGAAGGTGATGGACTTCGTGGACAGAGTTGCAGAGTAGACGTCGCTGCTCATCAGGATATCCACCTCCTCTTCGGTCTCCATCTCCGACTCCTTTGGCCAAAAACACTGAGAGTTAGGGTCTCGCTGATCACGTCAAACAGCTGACGACGACGCCGTGTGAAGCCTCGGTCGGGCCGCTCACTCACCTCGTGGTGTATTCTTTGGTACACTTTTGCCTCGTTGTCCAGAACGACGAAGGACTGGGAGGGCGCCGCGTCGCCGTTGAAAATGAAGCTGAGATCGCCGCGCTGACATTTCATATCGGTGAAGTCTATGAGAGTGGTGTCAAGTCTAAATCAAGAGAGAGGATGAGAGCGCGTGTGAAGATTGTTACGTCCTACTTTTTAGATCTAAAAGAAGTTCTTGACCTAAATATCACCACTTGCTGCATTAAACACTCGGTGAATGAGGCACAGCAACAGCCTTAATCTAGCGTTTGACGTCTCACCTGATGTTGATGCCCTGCTTGTAGATTTTACAGGCATCAGACGGAAGCATCCGGGACAGCAAAGGCACTACGAAGGAAAGAGGGGAGTAAGTTCAACTGTGAACAATTACTTCCAGAAAGAATCTTAAATGACGTTTTTAGATGCTAATAAAATTAAAGCTGGCCTTACAAACTATCCCATGTTGTAATAACGTTTGAAAATAGGGAACATACACAACTTTTATGTTTGTGTGGAAGTGAAAACTCACCCCAGCTCTGAAAATCCCAATGCAGCTCCAAATAAAAATCACCGAGCTGCATAAAAAAACATACAACGTGTGACTGAATGATTAAACGTTATAATTCCATAGGTCTGAAGAAGTACAGAACAGCGACGATTATGCATTTCAGCAGTTCGTGTGCATCCTCAAGGACAGGCAGCAGTCTCTTATGCAAATCTTTGCCTGCAGACATTCTCAAAACACAATGGACCGCATGTTTAATGATGCAGAACGACAGCAGTAGTGAACCTGGGGTTTGTGTGACACTGAAACCAGCTGTGATTCTCACCTCTCTGAGAGCTTTCAGTAATTTTGGCCTCTTATCTTCCACGCTCTCCCGCGACTGCTGCTTTAACTTCCGCAGTATTGCTGTGACTGGGGAAAGAGAACAGGAATGAATCAACTCAGCAGCACAGCGAAGATGCTGAGTATATCCACTGTTTTAGGGTATGTGGTCCAATTTTTTTTTTGCAGCTTTAGCACTCTGCAGGACCCTTAATAAGTGCGATAGTTCATTTCAGCTTGTCAAAGATGTAGAAGTATCTGCATATTTGCACTGAGGTAAGTCACGAGAATTTGCAGGGATGGAATGTAAAGCCACGGTGGAGGCAATTTAAAAAGATCTGTTCACTAAAAAGGACTGGCAGGTTGATTTTTAAACTGTCAAATGTCTTGTACATAACTACATTTCGGTGACTTTTATCAAATATGATTAATATTGGCCAACACACTTTAGAGTTTTGCTGTCTATTTAAATTTAACACATTAGTTTAGCCGTAAAATGTGCCTTTTGCAAAGTTCTGTTTTTGGTGCTATGATGAAAAACGTGTCAATTATATGTTTATTACTGCAGTTAAAATGAAATAGAACTGAACTGATATCTCTATGACAATAGTGACTCCTGAACTGATTACAGGCACAATAAAAGTCATGGAAGCTGGAATACATTAGACTGTACAGGTCTGCTTAAAAAACAGCCACTGACTGTGATTCATTATCATATTTTTGAAACCATCAGTACTAATATATCAGCATTGTGTCGGCCATCCTCTTTCCCAGCATCTCTGAATGACCTCCTGTGCTGAAGGGAGACGTAACGTGTGCAGATGTTTCACAACCAGTCCATGGGGTTAAACCCTCCCAGCTACATCCTGGCACACAGTACAAGATACGTTCAATGCTCCAGTTTTCATAGTGTTATAAATCACAACACAAGGAATAATCACGTCTCTGCTATCTCAGAAGTAACATATTTCATATTGCTGCACATGCACCAGCAGCAGTGATAGGCTCAGCTGATACAACTCATTAGCTCATGAGGTGCACGTCTCTGTCGTACAAACTGACCACAGACCCAGTAATGATGTCAGATGGACCTCAGTAAATCAGCGGATCTCAGATGTATCCTGGTTATCTCAGTCAGGGGAAATATTAGGCTGAGAATGGGCGTGACTGAGCAGAGAAGTGCTGACCAGGCCCTCGCTGCACTCGGGGAGCTCGTCACTGCACGCACACGCAACGAGAGAGCGAGCTGCTAACGCAATGTGCACATGTGTAAAAGCGAAAGGTGATGACCGCTGACAAGACTGCAGCGTTTCGTGGAAAGCTTTAACACACACACACACACACACACACACACACACACACACACACACACACACACACACACTTGGTATGAAGCAAACCTTGTTCACTATTTTTCGCTCTCACTAAGTGATACCAGCTGTGTGCTGCCTGTTATTTAACCAAAGATCTAAATACAATGTCACTGGAATATGACTTTCTTTGCATGTCCTTGCTGATGGTGTGAATGTACCCAGCCCCCTCTCTGCCCCCCTGCCGCCTATTCACCCTTGTGAGTGATGTGACCTTCTCAAAGCAAAGCTCCTGGTCCCAGTCCCAAGCCAGCCTGCCACAGCAGGCACAGAGCGCCAAGACGCATACTAAAAAGGCTGGGGGTCATTTCTCAAACTACCGGGGCTCACAATCTCCATCGCAGGCTGTGCAAGAAAAGGACGCTGATAATTCACAGTCATATTATCTGTACTGCCAAAAGCAACAACTATAAACTGTCAGCTCAGCACAGCTAAAGAACTGATATAAATTATTTAGTATTCACTCCCGTTACCGCACACTTTATCTTTCCTTTATCTTCAGTGAACTGTGCTAAATTAACACCAAGCCTCAAACAAGGACAGAGCAGCGAATTCATGCCAAAAGCATTATCTGGCACCTTTCACATGTCATCTGACTCATTTCAGCGGATGTAAAATCTAAAAGCAGTGGCATCATTAAGCAGGGCAGTGACCAGCCTGTAAGCTCAGGGCTTCCTAACACTAAGCCAGCACTCAGGCTGCATTCCAGCCCATCTGGATGACGAGCGCTCAGAGAAAATCCTCCACCTTTAGCTTTTTAGCTGGACTGACCAGATAGCGGTGTTTAAACAATTAAATGATTCGTTAAAGGTCCTTCCAGCTCTGTTATCCCACAACCTCCAACACGACTTAAATCCTTTGATTTTCACCACATTTTACAAAAACCATAGACTGTATATGATGAAAACACGTTTCATGATATTAGAAATTATCAGTATTATAAACAACAACATGTAAATACTACTGTTTATTAGTTAAACACTAAAAACTGCTGTCATACTTGTGCCGAGTACAGCGTGATCAGATTTCCTGTGCTATCAATATAACTGCTCCCCTATATGACAACAACAGGCAAAATGACGAAACCCAAATACTGTACAGAGGCACCAGAGAAGACTTTATGCTACTCAGTGCCAGTAAACGCTTCTGCAAACCACTGATGAGGAGTTTAAACTACAATTTCATTTTTAGCAGGAAGATACTCATTCATTCACATGGGAGGCCAAAAAAAGCAGATTGAATCAACCAACCCCGATCCTTCTTGAACACACTACAGCCGTCACGCTGACATTTAGCGACACCACGACAATATAAGCAAGCTTCAAACCGAGCGCCATTCCAGTTGTCACAATGACTGACTAACCCACAAATAGTGACTAAAGCCATCATAAATCTAGAAAACCATCACACGGGCAGCACTCAGCCGAAATGTCAAAACGTTGACGGTGTGCGATTGCAGGTATGTCAGTGAGATTACCATAAACACGTCCAAATATGAAAACGTCAGGACGACACACAGCTATTCTGAGCATTGTTGACTCTACTTACTCATTTGCCTGTCACCGTAGCTGATGGCTTCTGCTAGAGGACTCCATCCCTGCGCATTTTTGATCTTTACAGGTGCATTGTGGGCCAGTAGAAGGAGAGCGCACTCTGAGAGAAAAAAGCAAATAACACAGACAAACACAATTGTGACGACATTAGTGGTCATTCTGGCCCCACTTTTCTTTTTTTGTTGTTGTTGTTTGGAGCAGTTATTACAAATATAGGATAAATGTTGAGATTTTAATGTTAAGTTGGGACAGACTACAAAACTTCTGGACTAAGAAACCGAGCACTGTGTAGATGTCCACTCATCTAGGTCACACTAATCCTCGTAAAAAGCAACCGGACTTTTCTTTCAGGTTCTTGGACCTCTCGTCTAAGAGGCTGGATAAACTGAGGACTGAAGAAGCCTCTTGGCTGAGAGGTGAAATGTCTCCAACAACTTCTTTTTTTTTTTTTAAGCTATTTTTTTGGCCTTTATTATACAGGACAGTCCAGAGAGAGGGGAAGAATGGGGGAAGAAGTTGCAGCAAAGGGCCCTGAGCGGGATTCGAACCCATGTAGCCCCTGTACATGGGTCGCCAGCTCAACCAGGTGAGCTACAGCAGCAGCCAAGTGTCCAACAACTTTAAAGAGAAATGTACCTGCTTTTTAGTGAAGCTCCTAAACATATGCCGTGCAGTTAAACCACTAACTAAGGTCAACATCAGCTTGTTTTTCCAGCGGTTTCTCCATTTCCCTCTTGTAAAGCTTTTCTGCTTTTTTTTGATCTAAGCAAATTAAGGTTTGAAGAACACATGGCATCACATGACTTATAGACTGTTAAAAATGAGATTTTTCTACGTACTTATAACTTATAAATGCCTTTGTGCTCATAAATTGGCTTCACTGTGTGTAATCAGTGGTCTGTGTAGCCTTACTACTGTGTTATACCAACATTATGTCATTCCAACTCTGCAGAGGTCAGACAGGACATGGTAAGAGCAGCAGGAGTATAAAGGCTGTTACAAAATGAGGAGAGAGTTGACGCTGCTTTCGAAATGGCCTTTAATGAGGATGCAAAATGCTCTCCTACATTATGACAGATGCACGGCAGATTTAGTTAAATTTACTGGCCTCATACAAACAGTGGCAGATTACCCTATGAGAAGCTTTTTGTTCATTTTGGGTAATCCTGTGCACGACAATAGGCTGTTTAGTTTAAAAAAACAAAACCAAACATATTATTATGCTATTGCTCATCTTTACCTTTGTGGCCCAACATCACAGCCAGGTGAAGAGGTGTGTTTCCTGAAGAAAGAAACCCATCAGAGTGTCCGGATTACAGATAAATATCAACATCAATACAATCAGAAACACCGGTAATGTAAAAAAAAACAACACAAAATCAGGTAATAGAAACACAAAACCAAACCACATACCATGCACATCCTTCTGGGAGATGCTGTGGGTCCTGATGAGAGAGGAGAGCCGACGCACATCTCCCTTAAACACGCACTCATGAACAGGAAACTCCAAATCCTCACTTGTCAGGATTATTGGGTTCTTGTTGTTGTCATTCACAATGGTGCCGATTGATGAGTTACCGTTGATGTTGTTCGCGTTGAGCTGCTGTTGCTGCTGCAGTACCGACGTTTTGACCGATTTCTGAAAAGCCTTGTTGGACTTGAAAATGTTGCTGGTACCGTTAGGAATAGTCCCGTTGGAGGTCTCATCGTACGTGTCCATGATCTCGTCATTTTTGTTTGGTTTGTTGTGATCCTTTCGCATGGTGCGTATTTTCTCACCTGTCATGATGACTATCGTGCGTAATTACGAGGCTACGGGCATAAATGTGTAAGCTAGTCACAGCATTAGCAAAAATACCGAAAATAAAAATTGTTGCAGTTGATTGAATACGAGATTCAAGCCGACACCGATGCGCTCTCGTCGCTGGCTGCTCTCCGTTGTTCAAATAACGTTGCACCTGCTGTCCGGCTCCAAGCCAACATTAGCTCCCAGCAAACGTTAGCTAGCTAGCCGACAATAAAAAATGAATATGGTGGGTGCGGCGATGGAAACAGAATTTAATGCTAAACATAACAGAAAACACACGCACACTAAATCAACATACAGCTAAGAATGAAAACTAGCAGCAAACGACTACATCGTTGTCTCTTCCACCGCCTCTTGAATAGACGTTTTGAAATGCTATCGATTCAGCTTGCTTTGCGGCAAAATTCAGGCGGACGGGGTGGTACAATAAGCCAGCTGAGCTAACAGCTCCGCGAGCGCTGCTAGCTAGTAGGTCGCAAGTCTCGCGAGACTATTCAACAACCCCCCCCTCCAGTTTGAACGAGACTTGATGGTAACGTCATCTTTAGGAGACACACACACAAGCGTCGCAAGTCAAGCAGCTAGCAGGCTAGCAAGTTGCGTTGTTTACTAAAAATGGCAACCGCCAAGAAGGGGAAGAAAGTTGTGAATCAAGAAGAACTCCGACGGTTGATGAGAGAAAAGCAAAGACAAACGACAGACAAGAAGCGCGTCGAGTCTCCTTTCGCTAAATACAACAGTCTCGGGCACCTCAGCTGCGTCCTGTGCAATGTGCAGGTGAAGTCCGAGCTGCTGTGGCCGGCTCATGTTCTTGGAAAACAGCACAAAGAAAAAGTTGCTGAGCTGAAGGGAGGAAAGAGTCAAGCAGTTGTACAACAGAGTCAACCGGTGAAGAGGAAGGCACCGGACAACGACGACGTTCAGGGAAAAAAGGCGAAACCAGCGTCGGTTGCGGGCCAGTCGGGGTCGGGGCTGCCAGGAGATTTCTTCGAGAAACCCAGCGAAAAGGCGCCTGTTTCTACCCAAAAGTCTGCAGGGCTGAGTCTGTTGGCTGGAATTTATGACGACGACGATGATGGTGAAGATACCGAACAGGCAGGTGAGGCAGGAACCACGAACCCTCCTCCTCAGAAGGCTGAAGCAGCAGGACTACCAGCGGACTTCTTTGACAGCTCCATCCCTTCCACGCCTGCCATCTCCCATTCGGGATCCATCCTCAAAGCGGACGTGCAGCCGGAGAAGACCACCGACAAGAAAGACAACACAGCCGAGGCGTTACCTGAGGGTTTCTTCGACGATCCGGTTCGAGATGCCAAAGTGCGCAACGTTGACGCGCCCAAGGATCAAATGGACAAGGAGTGGGAAGAGTTTCAGAAGGAGATACGACAGGTGAACACCAAATCAGAGGCCATCGTGGCGGAGGAGGACGAGGAGGGGCGCCTTGAGCGTCAGATAGACGAAATCGATGAACAAATTGAGTGTTACAAGAGAGTGGAACTCCTGAGAGACAAGCGGGATGTGGTGAAAAGCAAGCCTCTGTCCAGGAAGGAGGAACAGATGGAGATTGACGGCGGCATTGACGAGGAAGAGGATGAAGAGGAGCTGCTTGGGCTGCTGTCCCGGGACTGGAGGGCTAAAGGGGCTTTAGCCTAAGTTTCTCTACTAAGATGCCATATGTAACTGACCTCAGTTTGTTCCTGAATACTGATAAAGACATTCTAAAGGAGGGATTCTTTTGTGCAGCTCTGTCAGCAGTCCATGATTTGTTGATGTTTGTTAAACTTTTTGTACACTTCAGACCTGAGTGCAACATTCTACAATAATAAAACATAGTTGGGTGCCACTGGAGGACACGGGCTCCCACTTCATGACTCAAAAAAACACAAGGCAGACCACAGATCAGACCTTTAACTGTGTGTTTATTCATCGGTGCTCAAACGAAAAGACATTCATAAAATCTCCCGCATACAGTAGCAGCATGGACCCAAAATCTACGTCATGGTGGCCAAAGCCGTTACGTTTCAAGCTCGACTAACCATTGTCCTGCAAAAAACAAACAGTCGACTATGTTAAATTTATAAATAATTATTTTTTCATGTTACATGTAAAGCAACATGCAAAGCACAACAGAATTATTTTAAAAAATGTAAAATGTTGAGATTAAGACCGTAAAGCAAATCTTTACCAACCTGACCCCCTTCACGATATAATTGGTTGAGAACACATTTCAACAATTTTTTTTTTTTTTTACAGAATACAACAAAGTCTGAATATGACAAATTTGTTATGTAAATACACCACTATTATGCCATTTAAATGGAATAAAAGGAATCAAGTAAGGAGTGGTGGTCAGTGCTTCTTATACTACCTGTTACATATTGTGAGCTAGGTGTGCCTTTTCTCCACTGCAATCCTAAACAAGCAATATCTAATTCATTTTGTTATTGCTACATATGCCTCACGAGTTACCACTTCAAAATTCTTTCTGAGTGATTCAAAGTGTTCATAGCCCTTCAAATCTGCAAAACATCGAGAAAAGAAACTACAGATAAATGTACAGATTGGAGTAAATACTGGATTCCAAATTGCAGCCTACTAAAGATAAACGAGGAAAGACACGGAACGAAAAGAGAAACCAAACGTTAGATTCAGCTTAGAAAAGAGCATACAAAAGTTTCAACCCCTACGCTCACTTGTGTGTTTCAGATAAGTTAGGAAACTGTCTAAAAACAAAACCAAATCCTGACAGTGACGGTTTCTAGTAGTCATTTGTAAACATTCATAAAATTCTATCTCAAGTCCTATAAATAAGGTTTAGGTGAGTTGTACCACTTGAGTGTGTGTGTTAATGGGTGGGAACATCTTCAACAGACAAACAGTTAAAGCTTCAACTGAAGCTAAATATACAAAAATGGTACACTAACATGAGACAGGTGGTCAAAAGAAAAACAAAACAGGTACACAAACACAGCAAGTTTAGGACTGGGGGTGGAGAATGGGATTCAAAGTAATTCACAACACTTTTTTTTTTGCATGGGTTATTCATATAAACAGAGGAATCAGATAAAATAAGAGCTGGATATTCTACTCATATGGATACTGTTAAAATTTAAGCGATGCTTTTGTGGCTGAGGTTATGCTGAGATGGACCAGGGGGAGTGAGTAGGGGGCATGCCAGCGCCACTTTTTCCACAATCAGTATGATAAATATTCAGTTCACAAAAGTGCAGCAATTACAGAAAAGGGTCGGGAACCCCGAACTCCCAGACCCCGCTGGGTTTTCAGTACTGTTCACCGCTGTCAGCAATGATGTGCTCACAAACCTAGAGCGGCTCTCAGTTCCATCAGGGAGTACCTCTGGTCCCCGTCATTGTCAAAGCACAGCACAGCGTGATTACTGGGAGTTGATTCCCCAAATACTTTCCTCAGGTCCTGGTAGGTCAATCCGAGTGAATTACGTCCAATACCTGCCTGCTGGAAGATGTCCTCCAAGTCTGTGAAAAGAACAATGTTAACAAGAAAAAATATTTAAAAAAAAAACATATATACATAATTTTTTGTGATAGTCATTTGTTTTCCTGCCAAGAATTAGTCTCCTACGTGTCAGGAAAATATAAGGCTACAGCTTTGTTTAGGAACAAGACAGGATTGGATTAATTCTGTCCAAAGATAACTACATTTCCAGACTCGCTCCCGTAAAGCTCATTAATTAACACAGTATACAGTTGAATCAATACAAAACAGTAATTATGTGAAGGGCTGTTTGTTAGCTGAGAGGAATTCCTTCCTCAAGTGTTATCGTCTCCTCAAGTGTTATCATCTCAGCAACGTTTCCAGGCAACAAGCAGAGACTTATTTTATTATGGCCTAGAATTAATCTTCTCATCTACCTCTGCAAGAAAGCTAATGTGTGTATTTACCAAAATGTCAAGCTAATCCTTTAACGAATGCTGAGATGTAAAACTTTGTGTGCACCTTTCAGAGAACTGACACCAGGCATGGATAACTTCTTTGGACATTCTGTCTCAGCATGTCTCTTGGAGCGGTTGGGAGTTAAGAAACGAGGACGTCTGCTTGTCTGCGGCTCTGTCAGTGGAGTGGACAGCTCTGTCGAAAATAAAACAGATATAAATATTAAAATGCGACACGAGGAAAATAAAATTCACTGTGATAAACTGCTGTATCTTATACTGTACCCTGAACACTCCCAGGTGTTGCTTTGGTTGTGGTAGCTTCTTTCACCGCCTCAGTCGTTGGACTTTCACTGCTGATTGCCAGTTGAGCTGTTGCATCATTGCTGTTTACCTGTAAAGCAGAAGATAAAATGTAATACGACTAAATTGTGTTGGTACACTCTGGGCTTAACACAACACCACATAGAGAGTAGCTTCATTTTACTCACGTTTTGTTTTGAGCTGTTCTCTAAAGAGGCCACTCTCTGATGAAGATCTGCGACCGTAGAGAGCAGGATGTGGATCTGCTCATCAGTCCACGTGTGGTGCTGCTCCTCTGTCTTGTTGACGTCGCTCATGGCTTTTCTCAGGTCCGTTATGTCCTACAACAATACAATAAAATACACGTGAAGCAGCCTGCAGTTTTAAAGCCTGACAAGCACATTTGGTTGACAAATGACAAATAGTGTCCAAAGTTATGCACGTTTCAGTTGACAATGTTACTGTGGAGACCACAGAACTGACCACATAACTACTCAGGCCACAGTACAAGAAATACATGCAAGTGTATAATTACATGGTGAGCTCATTTCCCCATCCTGTAGTGCTTGTGAAAAATGAAGTGGAGAAAACATTCTGCAGTTGTCTCAGATATTTGACCTAGTTTTACTCAGCAAACTAAAGCATCTAAGCTCCCAAAATAGATTGGCACTTGTTTCATGTATTATGAATGAAAACCCAAGGCATGGATCCAAGAAATGACAGGACCTTCTTAACCCTGGGACTCCTTCTGCATAAGCCTCACAAGAACTGCAAAGGCATGCACAGGTTGGTAAACAAATAAACTAATTGATCAGGCGGTAGCAAAGTCTGGATTCACACCATTACGTTAAATAGATCAACTGACATTTCATCAATTGAATCATCTTGGTCATATGCGAGTACATTTGCCTCAATTCTACAGAGACAAAAGTAGAAAACGTGGTACACCAAGCTATTTAATTAATTCATTTAAGCACAAATTTGTTTAACTTGTTTTCTGTACACACCTTTCTCCATACATCCATGCATAAATAATAAATGCACCGTGCAGCCTCCAGCAGTATTTGCTGTGAGCATACAGACGTGAATAACAAAAAGACAAGCCTTTAAACAGCATAAGTGAAATCTGACTTTGACTCATAAATAAAACTTCTGCTTTTGCTCATTCGAAATACCCCAGTTTGAAGCCCTACACGATTCTTCTGTGACGGTTGTCAGCTTTCCAAAACACTGTATTAACATTTCAGTAGTTTAACATACATTTTGAACAACAGCTGTGAAACAAAAGTCTGTTCTTATTGGAATTTCTGCCTCTCACAGCAGACAGCATCAGGGGTTTTCCTGCAGACAGGATTTTTTTGGCACAACCCCAAAGAGATTGGTTTTAGCTTGTGCCAAAGAAAAATCAGCCGTGCCTGAAGGATTGGAACCGAGAATGGAGAATGAAAAACAAAAAGTGTGTGTGTATGTTGACCAGTTCTGTTAATTGGGATTTCATAAGTTCAACCTTAATAGATATTGGTGTATCAATACTCATCAATAACAGGAAAATGTCAAGATTTGCGTCAAGCGAGATAAGATGAATTTACTATATGTGGACCGATCATGCCTACTGTCGTGCTTATTCACCTCATAACGGCTCCCTCTGAGCCAGGAAAAACCCTGAACATTTATCATCAGTGTATCTGAACACTGGAAAACCCTCGCAATTGATTCTGAGAAATACATAGAGGAACAAAAGCACACGACCATACGGTAAGAAATACAAGACTAAAAGTCACGGATAAATGCAAACGACAGCTCTAAACAGAAGGAACCACTAGGTTTTTGCAAGCAAGAGCATAAAAAGAAAGTGTGGATATGTGAACAAGAAGTTAAGGTTTGCACGCCTCGATGTGCTATTTCATCTCAGCGTGATACCAACTGTCGGTTGTTCAGGGTTAGAATAAACTACAGAAAATATCACAGGCTTAAATTTACCGTTGTCTTCTTTATGTCGTCATCTTTCTTCTGATTTTCAAGAGCAGCCTGCATAGTCTTCACATCATGCTGCACACTTGTTAGTGTGCTGCCAATCGTAGCGACACTCTGGAAATAAAAACATGTGAGGTCAGTTACGAAAATCAGTACAAGTCATCTTTTAATTCAAATTTATTTTGGCTTTACCTTCTGAAGCTCTTCAACGGTTGTGGGCAGGCTGATTAAATCAGCAGCTGATTTCAAGTTGGCCTTTAAATGGTTTACAGCAGAGTCTAGCAAACTGATCTGCAGGAATAAAATGACATAAAGCATTTAGTTACACCTGCAAGACAGAGTTTCCAATCTCTACTCCAATTTATTAGGTGCATCAAGCTAAAATTTGCGTCATCTAATACAACAGTCCTGCAATAAATCCACCAACATGAAGTTTGTGATGTTCAGGTTTTGTTTGAGCTGTTTTGACTGAACTGGAAGTGGTGTTGTTGAACTGTATTGAATTACAGTAACAGGTGTTGCTGTAAACTTATCTGACTCATTCATGTCAAGGAGGCTGAAAAACAGGAACAGCCCTCTTAGCAAAGCAATACAGTTCAACAGCACCACAAACCACATCCTCCAAAATGGCCCTGAAGTTGAAATGCTTTCAAGTGTATTCGATTGTTTCATTTTAATAAAACCTTGAGGCAGACATTAAAACTAACCTTCCGGTTCATTTCTGTCAGGTTAGACCAGAGTTTGCTCAACCCCTTGCCCCCATTCTCGATGTCGTCAAGCTTCCTCTCCTTGTTTTTCAGGTCCTCACTTAGTTTGGGTAGTTCGCTTGCAGATGCCTTCTGGCTGGTTTCCACTGGAACAAAAACATTGCTAAATGTTAACACCAGTGTGCCTAGCTTACTTAACATACGACATGAACAAGTGTCCAAAGGGCAGCACGTGTTTTATGATCATCACAGGGCTACTGTTGGTGTGTGACGCTTACTGCTGTGCAGCTTTTCTTTCAGCGAGTCCAGATCTTCCTTCAGAGCAATCTGCATCCATATGAGTCCAGCACAGGCCATGACACAGGCCGCCAGTATGATGAAGAGAAACAAGGGGTAGCACACATTGCAGCACTGCGTGTAGCTTCTTCTGTAAAGGCAAGAAACACGGTAACGTTAGACATTACAACTGCACGGCCTTTTAAATTATTGATGAAGGAGATATTTTCAGAAGGCTGTATGCCACGTCTTGGGAATAATGCAGATTACTTATATGCAAGTGTGCTTTTATATATGAGCTGCTCGAAGCTAAACCATCACATCACACTCATGCTGAATAATTTGTCCTGGATCAAGCTTCAGAAAGAAAAAAATAGAAGAAAAAAATCATCTACTAAATTATAAGCAATGTACCTAATTCTGCCTCAGGGAATGGGATCCTGAAAAACAGTTTTTGATTTTAATTTTACGATCCTGAGATTTTCTGCGTTTGAAATTTAAGAATTGAACATTTGTGAGAGGAACAAGAAAACAGGATGTACTCTGATTCGAAAGTGCTGGCAGCCAAATACTAAATCAAAACATTAACATATTCGTCCAAACAAAAAGCAAAACTAATAAAATAAGCATTCGCACATGATTAAAATTCACAGAACTCAAGCGAAGTTGTTCTGTTGTCTTTAACTTTTAACTGCTTCACATTTCTTTGACACCTGAACGACTGTTTATCGCATTACGTCATGACGGTAAACACACAACCTGTACGTTACAGAACAACAACAACAGGTGAATAGACTCACTTTCCAAAGTTGGCTCCGCTGTTCAGGTTGTTGAAGTCGTCGTCGTCCGAACTCGAGTCGGACTCCGAGTCCGGCGGCTCGGTTCGGAGAAGTCGGTGACCGGAGCCCTTTTTGGTCTTCTTCCTCTTGCTGTCCCCGAGGCCGATCAACGCGTTCAGCTCCTTCCTCTTCTTCATCTTTTTCTGGGGGGTCAGCGAACCCGCCGAGCCCGATTTAAACCCGACTAAATCCAATGTTTTGTCCAGTTTGGTGGATGTTGTCGTGTGTGTCGCGGCTAAGCTAACTCAACTTGCTAGCTTGAGTATCAACCACACAGCGGTGCCAACGGATAGAAACACATCGGACTTTGCCGATCGGCTGCTTCGCTGACACATACACCTAATAAACGACAATGTTCAGGAGCTGGTCGACATTGCGTTACACTCGCAAAACGGCTTCTCTCGGATAACTTTTTCTACTAGCTGCCGGGTTGTCACGTACGTGAGCTAACTCGGCTAGCATCGGACTCCTGGCTAACGTTCGCTAACAGAGTGCGGCTGTGCTATCACATCGTCTCAGCGAGGTTTGAAATTACCTGTAGCGACGTCGCTCATCGTGGAAACGCAGTAAAAACTCTTTAAGTCGACCAGTAAAGCCCGACTATGATATAGCCAAGGAATGCGGCGCTATTTCCAAGGATTTGTCCTGCTGCCTGTATTGTTTAGGCAGGGCGTCCAAGTAACCTCACAGCTGATTGGTGCAAAGAGCAGCTACAACTTCCTCTGCTCTCCTTTGACAGGGAGCGACTCGGAGCGCAACACCGCCTGCCCCCGACCGGCAGCCTGCACCGCTGCCGTCCAAAGTCATGGGCCGAGTAAGTACAATTAGAAACGGGCTGGGGGGAAAAAAAGCAAAAAAAAAATGCGATGGAGAAATCAGAAACACATGTTTGATGGAAGTAGCTAACGACACGGCAAAAAGAAAACGCGCGGTGCTGCGACAAAAGTCGTTACGAGGCTAAATTAGCCCATTTTTAATTCATCATATTTTGAATTTTACGTAGTTTACTAATTATAGCACGTTATAATTTAAATTTTTTTTTTCTCATGATAAAATTAAAAGCTGTAAAGGGGTCGAACTTTCTCACATGAGGACATATTCATTATCTGTTTTTACACCAGCCTCCTGTTATTTTTGCCCACAAAAATGAGTTATAGTGGCTCATAAATACATAAAGTCTTACAGCTGCTCAAAACTACATTATAGTTTGTTCTAAAGAATTTATCACAATTTAGTTGAGGATGCTGCTTTTGCATGCTAAATAGAAGGACTTAAAATATATTTATCATGTAAAATTATGTTTATTATTTCTTCTTTTTTTCTTCTTCCTCCCTACATGACTTGTTTTGAGAAGTTCCTATCACAGCATGTAGGCTGTTCGCTGAACAACATTGTGATAATGTGAGCTCATAGTTTGTTTTTCACGTTTTGATTCTGTGCAAAAAAGGGAAAGAAAAGAATTTCATATTTAATACATCAGAATGAACTTTATTGGCCAAGTTTGTACAACAAGGAATTTGACTCCTTCGCTGTCTGTGTACAGAAATCAGAAAAAAAAGGTAAAATATGAGTTCAAATGAAATCAAACAAAAACAACAATCACGCTGAACATCACTTTTATTATTGTATATGTGAAGCAGCACACATTTTCCTTCTGTGATAAAAGGATATGATATGTATTGATTTCAGAAAATATCCACGTTAACCACAGTGTCAGCTCTAATCTGAGATATTTTTACGTGGGGCTGCAGAAGATTATTTTCCTTGTCGATCAGTCCGTGGTTTATTTGTTAACCACAGTGAAAAAATGAGGGCTGTCGGAATTTTTGTCAGAACCAAGTAAGATATTTTCATTTTGCTCATTTCGTCTAAACCCTAAATATGCTCAGTTTGCAGGGATAGAAAACTGAGAAAAGCAGCGAATCCTCACATCTGAGAGGCTTGAACCCGCCAGCGTTCGGCCCGTTTCTTTGATAACTGAGCAAATGATGAATCTGCATTTACATCTGGTGTCATTCTACTACAGTCTTTCTACTATCTCAGACGTTTGTCGACCATGTGTCGGTGTGTTGGGTGTTTACATAATGTTTTTATGAATTCAACACATTCTGTGTAAAAGGATTGCATTTTTTTTTGTTTCAATTTGTCAATTCCAGCACAGGGGCTGCCAGAAATCCAGCTGACCTGGAGCGCTATTGGCCTGACCCAGCAAGACACATGGGCTAAGTAGAAGCAGGGTCGCCACAGACTGGCCTTTAGCTCTTTTTCATTGAAAACAGACTCCCACTGGCCTGCTCTTGGCTTTGAAATATGTTCTTTTATGCGCCTGGCCCCCCATACTACCACAGTACAATGCAAATAATAATGACACTGAATACAAATCCCCGCACGGGACGAATTTACAAATACACAAAAGAACTGAGATGCTCCTCAGCATCTCAGTATGAGTTTGATTATTGAGTTGCAAAAGATGAGGCCTACTGCTGATGCTTTATTATCCTCAGAAAAGAACTTCTCAAGGCAGTGCTTGTCACTTCACAATAATAGCATGATGCCACCCACAGAAATACAAAGATAATATTATCATAGCTTATAGTCAGACTGATATGCCTGTCCTATTATTTAAGTGCATTACGCTGGGAGGCAGTTACTGTATTGTTCTGAATGCATTTGCTGCGAGTCCAACGGTGTCATGTAGGTAGCAAAGCAAAATTCAATCAGCAGCTCGTCTCCACTAAGAACACCTGGTGAGAGGACAAGCATCACACTGAGGGCCTGCACGGAGCCCTGCCAGTATGAGGCTGCAAATCAAAGCATCAGAGGTGTTTCATCTCTTCGCTGGAGTCTCGGTTTTCCATCGGAGGTTAAGACTGAAAGAATGACACTTCGACTTATGGCTCCTTACATCTGCAGCCACGAGGTAGGGAGCATCAGGCATTAGAAGACCTCGTCTATGATTACTACAAAACACTTGTTTTTGCACTTTGTTCACAGCAGGGTTACTCATATTCTCACCAGGAGTGATTCCTGCAACTGTCGGGCATGGAGCTGCCTTGGGTGCTGACGGAGAATGTAAATAGTGGTGGCATGATAGAAAATACTGAATAGAATTGACTGCTAATTGAAGGCTTTCATCTGACATGGCAGACTGTGTGAATACAGATTATCATCAGTTGGGAGCAGAGCTGCAGTTAGAATACCAATTTCTCTCACCAGGCATTTTTTAGCGTTTATTTAGAGTCTTTCAGGCATTATGTTGGATGACTCGAGTAGCATGTATGAGCATTTCATCGTGATGTATGTGCTTTGCTGGCTGACAGCTAAAATGCAGCGAAAATAATTTATTTACAGTGAAGCAGAAGCTTTCTTTTTGATTTTCTCAGTTGGCTCAATTGTAGTTTCAGTGAAAACCCTGAAAATAAATCTATATTTTTTCACACCTTCTTTCTGCACAACACATGGTTTTATGTCGAGTTAGAGGAGTTTTGATTGGTTGCTAGTTTGTTTTGCGTCTCATGTCTGATTTATTCAGTGATTTAAATATGTCTGGTGTTGAGCTGCTCTCTTCCCTGGATGTAGAGAAACAGCTGACCAATCAGAGCTTAGTAGGAGGGCTTAAGATTAAGGACATCATCTGGCTACGTAGCTACCTAGTTACCCTGCTGGCTTCATCCATGAGAAATAGCAAGAGAAATACAGCAAGAAGCCTGAATGAAGCAAGTTGTTGTCATTTATTTTACGGGAATACCAACTCTTAAATATTGTTTTCATCATTGTGAAAATGACATCAGTGCAAATAGGACCGACTAGAAAAGAGAAATCTCCTAATTTGAACATAATGTCCTGCTAATAATTGGAGTGATGTCAAATGGTAATTCAAATATTTTACCTACTTGTTTGTCACAGCAGGAAACCAGCTGGAGAGAAGCGACACCCTGTACTCTCATTAGCAAATCAGGATTAAAGAACATTATAAAATGAAAATGACAGGTGGTGATGAAACCTCACCCAGACATTTAAAAAGTGTTAAACGTAGAGATGTTTCCCCCCTAACTTTAGCTTTGATTATTTAGTCATAAATATTCAGACGTATTTAAGATTTAAAGCCAAATTACAGTGCAGCGAGAATAAGAGTTGCCTGGATGTACTAACTCAGTGTGCTTTTCTTGTGTTATCAATATTTATTTAGAAAAATCTGAGTGAATTATTTAGACCACCGCTCTGACTTTATTCTGTGTGAGCTTTCCCAAACACTTTGGTTTGTGAAGTCTAACCAAATACCAACAGTACATCCAGAACACGATGCGCTCGCTGCTGCTGCAGAATGCGACTCACAAAGAGATGACAACAGACATGCGACATGAGAGACGAGAAAACCGTTAAAAAAAAAAAAAAAAAAAAGTTGTCAAAAGCTAAGAGTGATAGCTCTGCAGCATTCGCGTGACCCCATCCCACATGTCTGCTGTCAGTCAGCTCGGCTCGTCGAGGCCTCTGATAGAGTACAAAAGAGAATCAGCAGGGGGCAATGTTCTCACATCAAAGAATAGCAGACATGCAGCATAAAGGCAACACTTGAGTCAAGGACAGATGAGCTCAGAATCACTGGCTTGGCTCTTTCTAATGGCAGCAATGCAAATATTTTTCACATCCAGAACGGCGGTCATCACTCTGATCGTGTTTCTGCTCTGATATCGACTGCGATACCTCGTGCAGAAGAGCCACAGTCATAAAGGGCTCGTACACCTAAATATTTTACACACTCTCAGACTCGGCAATGGAAACATTAGCCACACACACACACACACACACACACACACACACACACACACACACACACACGCAGTCAGCTATGTTTAGGAAGCAAAATGCATTTGAGATCATGTAATAATAAATAATTAACGCAATTGTAACGTTCGCCATTGTGGGCTCGCCTGGAAATATTTTCAGTGTGAAAGAAGGCGGGGGGAAGATGAGTGTTTGCTGCTTTCATTGTAACTCCCTCTGCGTAGAAGGCTCAGTTAAATGCTTTTAATGTAAAAGAAAACGTATCGGACAGGAACATTAGGATTTAGCGATTAATTCTCTGTCGTCAGCTAGAAATCACATTGTGGCGACACTTTACTATATAGGCTGCCACTGCAGTGATACAGCAAAGGTCTGATATCATCTGAAATGGATAAAAGGGAATAGATTAATATATTAAGCAAATGAAAGGGGTGAGACAGGGAAAAAATATCAGACAGGGGGAGCACTCTTTGGTAGAATTTTGTGGAAAACCTAATGCACAGTAAACCTGCAGGAGGTTATTGTTCAACATGGAACACACAACCTGCTTGTGTTAACGTGGAAGCTGACGTGACCCAGCTCTGTGCTGGTAATGAAGCAGTATGTCCTGATAGGTCTCCCGTTTTGTGTAATACAGAGTATAGAAATATAAGACATTTTAAATTCAATGAGATTTAAGGATTGGTTTCACAGACAGACAGCCAAAGTTCTCTTTTTCAGTGTATTAGACCAGGATTAGTTTAATCCATGTCTGTGAAACAGGCCCTTGATTTTCCTGGTAATGCCTTCAGTGCACGAGGCATCTTCTTCTTTGGTTTTTCTGTCATTTGCTGAGGTGAAAAAAAAAAACAAATGAGACAATTCAAATCCATATAATCGCTTTCATAATTTTTGA